ATAGTTAATTTGATACTAATATCAATATATTTTTGTCAAATTTTTATTATATCTTCAAATTTATATTTTATTAAAAAAAACATCATCGCTTTTTCAAAATCACGTAAGACCATATTATAACATCGACTGAGATAAAAAAATAACAGATTAAAAATTAAAATAATTACTCGTTGCATTGCATGAGTATCCTTCTAGTAGCTATTAATTTATACATAATACTCGAAAAAAGCATTATATTGCTTATTTTCTAATCGTATATAATATAATTTTTATTCTATATATTTACGAGACACTGCTCCACGAATGTTTGCTTTTCATCGTAATTGTTTTTATTTAAAGAATTAAAAAGTATTAGACATTTTTTTAAATATCAACATTTTTTTTATTAATCCCAGAACGACAACCTGCTTTGCAGATAGTTCGGAGTCACCGCATTTGTAGTTATAAGATAGAAAAATTAGGGGATGTTTGAGATTGCTTATAAAAACAACTTATTAACTTATTTCGGTACGACACCGATTTTAAGCACTTTTTGAGTGTTGAAATCATTTGATGGGATTGTTTCGAAAGACAGCTTGGTTTAAGTCCCCCTTTTTTGCCATCTCTTGAGGCCGAGTTGTTATTTCCTGTTGCTCCTCCGTTTTGGTTTTATTTTGTTTGTAGTTTGTTTCTTGTGGAGTTTGACTTGTTTTCCTCTTTGATATCTGTTCGTCACATATTTCTTTTGCGGGCCTGTTACATTTTTATTTTCTATATTATATTATAAAGCATTTGACAAAAACTTTTAAAAACCATTTTTTATGCATGAAGTACTGTTTATTGATGCATATTACTTAAAATTCAATATTACAAGTAAATTATGCGTAAATACAACTCATTAAAGCTTCATGTTTGAATTCGTGTAACTAACTACGAATAAACATAATCAAATAGAGGATAAACATCTAAAATATAACTAGGATAATTATTGAGTTTTAACAAAATAACTAAATATTATCTTTATAAAAAATTGTATTATTAAACCAAATATAAATTACTTCGTTATTGAACCTAAATTAAATTACAATAAAAAGATTGAATTAAAAAATTACACAAAAAATGAGAAATTTTAAATAGTTAATTTGATACTAATATCGATATGTTTTTGTCAAATTCTTATGATGTATTTAAATTTATATTTTATTCAAAAATAAAAACAATATCGTTTTTTCAAAATCACATAAGACCATATCATAACATCAACTGAGATAAATAATAAAACGAAATATTAAAATTAAGATATATCTTACTACATTACACGAGTATTCTTCTAGTTTTTAAAATTTATTTATATTTTTTATTTTAGAAGTGAAAGAATGTATTTTATAAATTACAAGAATAAATTTACGGAACATGAGACAGTCTCCTCGTCCACCGGCGCCGTTTATGCCCCTTAAAATGTGGATAGGGCCGCCCCCTTTCTTACTCTTCAACTTCTAAAAGCCCTTCAAAATCCACTTATTTACGAAAAAACTTATTATTAATAAAAATTGAATACAAAAATTGCAAAAGAAATACTTTAAAATACATATTTTAGTGTTTATAGTTTATTTTTTATTTATTTATGGATTTATAGTTAAAAAAATTCTATTAAAAAAAACACTTTAAATATATATCAAAAAGATGGTTTCTGATTGGTTTGAACCTGACTCCAAAGGTCAAAAGTCCATGGAGGTCCCAAGTTCAAATTCAAAGAGAAATAAAAATTCTCTTGTGGTCACAGAGGTTCAAATGCGGTGATTTCGGGTTATCTGCAAAATAGGTGATCGTTTTGAGATTAGTTGGCTCACATAACGAGTTAGATATCCAGGTTAATAAAAATATATAGTTATGACATTATAGATCATTAAATATATCTACTAAAAAAAGGTTTCGCAGATAAAAATTGGATAAAATAATATTTTTATCCCATTTGTATAATTTGAATATTATTTTTTCTAATCGAAATTGAAATGATTTACAAAAAAAAAAAAAAATACATTACAAACATGATTTAAACATACACTGTTGTTATTTAATTTAGTTGTTACGGTATTTTTAGTTAAATGTTAGTTTTTGTTTGATAAAAATATATTTTAGTAGACAAATAAAAGTGCATGTAGAAGAGAATATTAGTTAATTAAATTTTAACCATAAGGATGGTGCTTGATTAGTTTGAGTTTGGCTCCAAAGATCAAAAGTGTCAGGAAGTCTCAGGTTCAAATAAAAGAAGGAACAAAAATCACCTTGTGGCCACGGAGGTTCAAATGCGGTGACTCCGGGTTACGTGCAAAGCAGGTGGACGTCCTGAGATTAGTCGGCTTGCATAGCGGATTAGATATCTAAGTTAATAGAAAAAATTAAATACTAGTAATAATAATAATAACAAATAAATAAATAGTAGGGTAGGCTTTATTTTGTCTTGAGGAGTCTTTAGTGTCAAAACTCCATCAAAGAACTAGGGTCTATTGCTTTAATCTTTCTTTCTCTTCATATTAAACTCACTTTCTTTAGAAAATCAATAATGACATGTTGGTTTGCAGTTTATTGAGTTCAATGAGATTTACAGCTTATTTAGCTAGCTATATATGATTGTTTAATAATGGTTTAATGATATCGAACGTGACATGTTCAGTAAGCTTTTAAAGAAAATTTTATGCAAAATTAAAACCAAGTTTTTTTTTTCCAAACCTAACCTTCTCAATTAAAAAAATGTTCATTTCATCTATAAAAAATTTATTCCAAGCAAAAACTTTTTCAATCCATACAGATAGATTAATCTACACAAACAACTTTATCTATAAATGACTTGATGAAAACCAGGCAAACCACCTCTAAGTTCAATAAAAATATTTGACTACTTTTATATGCGTCTGAATAATAACAAAATAATGAACTTGTACAAAATATATGCATTGATATAACAATTGCGTTATTTAGAAGAATAATATATTGACATATCTTTTTAAACATGACATTTTAACGTAGTTAATGAATGCATATGTCCAGTAGCGGATCTAAGAACTTCATTGACTTGGGGGGCAAGTATCAAGTACAAACTTTCATAAGCGTTGAAGAAGTAGGTATTAGGGGTCATTTATCAAATACTTACCGGGTAAGTGCTTATTTAGTGTCGCTTTACTTTATTGATTGAGTCTGACAAAGATCGAAAGTTTTACTCAGTAAGAGGCATAGTAAGGACAATCATCTTAGTGGTGATTGACGGAGAGCACTCTTATTCGGTTAGTGCTTAGCGGGTAAGAGACGATTATCAACAATCCATTTTGATAGCTGAAAGATGTTACTCGATAAGGTAAGCTAGGATGATAACTCTTGTTCGCTAAACACTTATCCGGTAAGCGTTTAATAAATAACCCCTTAGGTTGGGAAATATTCCATGAGACTTTTGCACCTGAAATTCTCCACTGATACCATCACTTTTGGATCTGATAATTTCTTAAAAATCTTTCCAGTTCTTTGCAAAATGATAGAACAATTAAACAAAATATCAAAATACTTAATATTTCCTAGGGAATATTTAACATTTAGCAAATTAAATCAAACAAGGTTGTCTATAACATTGGCAAAAAAAATTAAACAAGAGAAAACCAATACTAAATAAAATGATGTCACACTAAAGACTTGATCGTTCAAAACACTAAAGTTTATTGAGTTTTTTTAGACTTAATACTAAATAAAATGATGTCACACCTTTTAATTATGTACTATAATTATTTATTAAAAGTAAGTAATGCAAAGTCAAAATTATGTTGATAGCTTTGACTTTTTCATCAAAGGTCTCATGACTCCCCAATGTCAAACTATTTTCATTAATCTATAAATATCAATATTTTGTTTTTGAAGAAAACGTATAAATGCCAATGCTAGTGAGTTATTTCTTAGCCATGGTCTTTTAGTTTTTTTTTTTTTTTTAATTTCTTCAATAGATTTGTTAAAATTTAAAATTAAAAGAAAATTAAATAAATTCTTTATTTTACAGATTACTATATTAATTAAAATATTATATATATATATATATATATATATATATAGACAAATGATTAACCCTTTTTCTCATCGAAATCCAACTCATATATATATATATATGTATGTATAATAAAGTATTATTTTTATTTTATAAACATTTAATATCAATATCTTTTATCAGTGAAAATATAAGAGTATCTACAACATATTCTTCAAATGAAGATTTTGGAAATTTTTGCTCTAATAGATTTCTCAAAACTTTCTCCAAAATGAGAATAAGAGAGGGAAGGTGAAATTATTTAAATTTAGAAAACTCCCCAAAAATGATCATTTATAAAAGAGAATTATTTTTTATTCTTCAGATTGATGAGAATCATTGAAATTAAGTTGTTTACCAAACGCTTACCTGGTTAAGTGTTTATTATGTCACATTAGCTTATCAGATGAATATAAGTAAGTACCAATAATCTTATCCACTAAAAACAAGACAAAGACCAAGAGTCTTACCTAGTAAGTGATGACACCGAATTTTACCATGGTTAGTGCTTACCTGGTAGATTGGTGCATACGATGTCATTTTGTTGGACTACAATTTTACCCAGTAAGTAAGTGATAGTGTTGAACTTTACTGGTAAATGTTTACCGGGAAGCGTTTAGTAAACGACTCATAAACATATAAGAGATACAGCAAAACAACTTATACCGATATCAAACCAAATAAATATTTAAATTAATAAAGCTTTTATAAAAAAACATAAATTATTTTAAATAAACAATCTTAAACACACATAAATATAACAAAAATACCCCTTCGGAATTGGCCCTACCAAGTTTTTACATTAAATACCCGTCACATTTGCCGGGTCCCATGATCAATGGTTGAAAAGGTCTCGGACCATCCATCTAAACAAAACAACCATATTCCAGACCCGTATTCTTCATCTTCCCCCCCCCC